AAAAAGAAAAAGAAATGGAGTGGTAGGTAGGTGGAGGGGGATTTAAAACATATGAGAAGAAAAAATTACACATTATGCTGATGGGAAAGATCTAGTAGATAAGGAAAAAAAGATGCAGGAAAGAGCACAATTGTAGGAATGATGCCCTGGTTTAAGGATGGGATCTAAGACACCAGAGGAGGAGATGCTCTTAAGTAAGAGAACAAAGTGTCAACCATAGCAACAGAAAAGAGAAGAGTATAAGGATAAGATGCACAAAGGGGAGGAGCTATCTTCTGATTGCTTTTGTTCTCAGTTAACTAGGAAACAAGGTCACCAGCTGAGTGAGGAGTGGGCGAAGTGCTAGAGGTTAGAGGAAAAGGTATAAAATAGCACCTTAGGGAAGCAGGACAGGAGACTAGGAAAACAAATGCTGGAGATTAGCAGACAAAAAATTGAACTGGAACTAATCATCATGATTCCATTTTTCTTCAGTCACACTTAGCTGCAGGGGTAGAGGAATGGAATAGACAGAATTAGCCTTTGTTTATTTTCTTGTCAAATGCTCTGGTCTTTCATTAAAATGCTATATCTTAAATTATAAGAATATGATACAATGTATTAACCCATTCACTTACTGATATTTCTGTTGTTCCCATATTTTTTACTCTTTCAAACACTGCTGTACTGTGAACATCCTTATATATGTCTCTTTGTGTTCAAATGAAGGAATTTCTAGTCTAGAGGAATTATTGGGAAGTGGAGTACGCTTAGCTTCAATTTTACTGGATATATTATAAGTTCTCATTTCCTCTCTGCCAGATTAGTAAATTTCTGACACCTTAATTGGTATGAAACAGTAGTATCACATTGTTTTATTCTGCAATATTATGACTTCAAGATCAAGCATTTTTCATTTATGAGCTAGTCTTGTCTATCAACAAATCTCCACTCACTTGCTCATTTAAAAGACCATATCAAGTATCTACTATATGCCTGGCATTATGAAACAAAAAGAGCAAAACAGATGTGGACTCTGCCTTCCTGGAATTGACAATCTAGTATGGGAAAAACCAAATAATCATAAATATGAACTGTGGTAACATGAAGGTCATTAACAGTAATCTATGAAAATTTAAAAGAGGAAGACCAAATTAGTAGAAATAGGAGTCAGTAAAACCGTTCCTGAAGTGCCATTTGCATTTTAACAGATGAGCAGGAATTAACTAGCTTACTATTTATAAAAGCCCACTGCAGCTATAAAGAAATGAGCATCGCCGGGCTCAGTGGCTCAGCCTGTAATCCCGCCCCTTTGGGAGGCTGAGGTGAGTGGATTGCCTGAGCCTGCGGGTTCAAGACCTGCCTGGGCAGCGAGACCTCATCTCTACAATAAATCAAAAAATCAGCCAGGAGTGGTAGCACATGCCTATAATTCTGGCTACTTGGAAGACTGAGGCGGAAGGATCGCCAGAGCCCAGCAGGTCGAGGCTGCGGTGGCTGGGAGCGGCCACTGCACTCCAGACTCCAGTCTGGGTGACAGAGTGAGACTCCAACTCAAAAACAAAAAAAAGAGCATCATCACCATCAATATGCCTAATAAGTGCAGAAGCACTTTCTTTATGTCTTTTTTGAGTTGGAGGCTCACTCTGTCACCCAGGTTAGAGTGCAGTGCCATGCTTATAGCCACTGCAGCTTTGATCTTCTGGGTTCAGGTGAGCCTTCTAAGTAGTTGGAACTACAGACATGCACCACCATGCCTGGCAAATTTTTTTATTTATTGTAGAGATGAGGTCTCACCAGGTTGCCCAGGCTGGTCTGAAACGTCTGGGCTCAGGCAATCTTTTGGCCTCTGCCTCCCAAAGTGCTGGGATTAAAGGCATGAGCCACCATGCCCAGTCAGAAGAATTTTCTTTTTTTTTGAGTTAGAGTCTCACTCTGTCACCCAGACTGGAGTGCAGTGGCTGCTCCCGGCCACCGCAGCCTCGACCTGCTGGGCTCCGGTGATCCTTCCGCCTCAACCTTCCGAGTAGCCAGAATTACAGGCGCGCGCTACCATGCCCGGCTAATTTTTTGATTTTATTGTATAGATGAGGTCTCGCCTGCCCAGGCGGGTCTCGAACCCGCGGGCTCAGGCAATCCACTCACCTCAGCCTCCCAAAGGCGCGGGATTACAGGCTGAGCCACCGAGCCCGGCTAGAAGAATTTTCTTATCTTCCATTGGGTGTGCTATATGCTCTGGCAGATATGATGCCTGCCCTGGGAACTTTCCCCAGACATGCCCAGGCATTATGAAGTAGGAGTGGGAAACTGGATTTCTCTTGGTTCCCTTTGCAATTTTCAGACTATTACTCCTGTACTTTTGTATTAAGCTTATTCTTGTATGAGTCTCATACCAGTTGGTTATACTACCCTATACAAGCTGACCCAGTAACCCCATTTTGAATATTTTATTTTATCTCACTATAGATATTTTAAGAAAAAATTCAATAGAAAAAATGGTAGAATGATGAAAAACATCAAAATATTCAATGTCACTTATACAAAAAACAACACTAAAAACAATCCAAATATTGTCTCAACAGTAGGGGGCTTGTTAAAGTGATCAATAGACTGTGTAGCAACATAGAAAACATTTATAATAAAGTTTTTAAAAAGCATGACAGAGTGAGATTCCAACACAAAAATAAAAATAAAACAAAAAGTATGACAAAAGATTTTATCTATAACATGGGAAAATGTAAATAACTGATAAATTAAGGTGTGAGTGGGCAAATTTAGGGAATTTAATTTACTGATATAGCTGGGAAAAACATTCCAAGGCCTATCATTCACCATTTTGCCTTTGCTCAGTCTCCAACATAACCTATCATCATGTCCCTTAATCAACCCATCCCCTAATGACACTGAGTTATAGGCAGCTCCCTGAACAAAATATGGCTTTGGAGACATCAGAGTTAGGAGTTAAGAGCTATGTCTTTGAAGTCAGACAATACCAAGCAAAGACTGAAACTTTCATGGGAAATACTACTTAGGGTGAATTAATGTACCTCTCCAATTATAAAACAAGAATATAATACATGAGTTATGAAAGGCACAGGGAACAGTCAGAAGGGAGTCTCCCGAGATGGCGCTAAAACACCATATGGAACCAAACAAAGACAACAAAGGCCCTAAGCTCCTGCTCTTCCCGCGCGCGTGAAACTTAAACCTGTACACAAATATTATCTTCCTATAGGAATACTACCTCATAGCTCCCTCCAATAAAGACCCTAAGATGGCACTGGCCGGCACCGCCAGGCTCTGATAGAGCACTGGCCCCCCCTCCCAAACCGATAAATACAGACCTCTCTCGCCCTCACTCTCTCACTCCCCCTTCCCTACCAGGCGGTTACAGACCTTCTTCCCTCTCTCTGTAGCCGCTGCTCTAATAAATCTCTTGGTCTCAAAGGGTGTTGAGTCTCACTGACGCCATCGTCCTTCAAGTTAGGTTTTTTTAATGCAAGCAACGGAAACATAAAAAATTAGCTTGAAAAAAAGGGAAGACTTATCGGACTAATAGTGGAAAGCTCATTGGTCCCTAGGAAAGCTTCAGAAATTGAGCCAGGTTCAAGGACCTCAGGGAATAGAAATGAGAACAGCATCATATCACTAGATCTCCCACCTCTGGTAAGAAACTGAGCCCCAGAAAGCTCCAGACTTTCACCTTTCCAGCCTAGCAACTCAAAAACAAAGTTTTCCTGCCAACTCTAATTTGAAAAAATTTTGGCAAAGGACTCTGATTGGCTGAACTAGGTCACGTGCCCTGCGGACATCCTAACTTGTGTTCCTGTGGTCAATACAACAGGGATTGTTACAAGAGAAAGACTGGGGGGTGGGGAGCTGAGCAGACCAAGAAAAGAGCTATCACAACATCTTTTTTTTTTTTTTGAGTTGGAGTCTCACTCTGTCGCCCAGACTGGAGTGCAGTGGCCACTTCCGGCCACCACAACCTCAACCTGCTGGGCTCCGGCTATCCTTCCACCTCAGCCTTCCAAGTAGCTGGAATTACAGGCATGCGCTACCACGCCCGGCTGATTTTTTTTTTTCTTTTT